AGCTAGAGGATAAACTGCATTGTTGAACTATAAAATAGCAACATTTAGAATGAATTAATTTATTGACGAGATCGATTTTTGCTTATCGGCTGACCGCCTTTACCAGCCTCAATTATATTTAATATAACCAAAACAATCGCAGTTATATGACAAATATTGACGAACAACATCGTGGCACGATACAATGTAAATTCGAAACAACGTCGGAAATTCTCCCTGAAATTTTGGACAGTTCAAATGGGATACTGTATGAACAGTGCAATCATGGGCACTTCAGATCTCACCATTCCGATATTATCGTTCAACAGGTTAACGGTTTATGTTTGCTCTACTTATGCAAAAATCAGTTGTATCCTAGTGCTTGATTGGCTCGTTTCGATTACAGCTTTATTCGCAGAACACTTCAAACCTACGTGAAACTTCCAACATAATGAGGAGGAAACCTCCGATTTTTGTCTGATGTTAATGATTCGTTTTTGCATTGTACCCTCGTTGTTCACATTGCGATATTCGAGGTTGNGCGTATTGCATTTATTGAAGTACCTGGTATCATGTCGTGGATTCAGTGGAAGACAACACCAAAAAAAGCGTAATTTGGTGAATTTGACAATGCCCCACGATAAAGCGATAAGCTTAATCCATGACGCTAAATAAGCTGGATTCGAAATAGATGATCGTGGTTCATTTGTGTACATTATGTACAATAACGATGGCAAGGGAACCTGAAATTGTAGTCAGCAATATTTCTTTGACTGAATTTAAGAAGTTATCATGATCTTCAGATTGACTACAGATAAGCAAACGATCATTTCTGGCTGAGGTTTCGACAGTTGATGGAAAATATGAAACTGTTAATGAGTAAAACACCAAACCTCTTCGGCTGCCAGAACGAGTGATTTAGCGAGACGTGCAACGAAAACGTTTTCGTAGTCATTTTTCAGTGTCAAACAAACATCGCTCATCTCGAAAACATACACAAATACAGATACACCGGTGAAGAAAAAATATCCATAGGCGGCTGCGCGCGCTATCTGACTTTCGAAATTTCCCAAATACTCGGCAATTCTAAAACAGAGAATTGCAATTTTTTGCTCGAAACAACGATCACTATGAAATGTTCAGTGCAAAAAATTGAATTCAAATGCAGCCACTAATTACTACGCTTACAATTCGACATTCAAANGAATCAAATCATCCAGAAGTCACGCTGTTAATGGGATGCCCAACTCGCTCATATTGGAGAAACTATACAATTCATTTGATGCTTGATGAAACTTTAATTATCATCTAATGAATTCGAAGATGCGAGATGATGCCATACTCAAAACACTATTCTGCTTGCACCACTCGCTTGTTGCTCTTTCCACTGACGCGTTCATCTACAGCTGCTTCATAGTGCATGTGCTCGTTCATAACCTTCCACACACAACAATACTTTTATACGATGATGCTTTCAGTTGCACTATTTGAAGTTCTGTCCAATCCAAAGGATCAGCAAACACTTGACATTTTGGCAGATGAATTGGTTTGGACATTCATCAAGAGAGGTTAGACACACTACCGTCAGTAGCTGATCACGTTGGAGCAATGATTGGAGTAAAATTTGAATCATTCGAACGAACGACGTGTTGTGTACTTCTTTTGCTATACCAATTAATCAAAACAATGATGAATTTTATTTCGATTCTTTAAGATACTTACAACTAGGAAAACAAATCAAAGAATTGTAAGAATAATAGTAATAACTAAGATTCATTTAAAAATTTCAGTTCATAGCGTTTCTTTGCAATATTGTTAGCTCAATATTCTGAATAAGATTGTTCCCATATAGCCTTTGTCAAAATTGTGCTAATAAATCATCTAGTTCGATGGTATTTTTGTACTTTTCACACTGTATGTTTTAGACGGGTACCAATGATTATTTGAAACGATCAAATGTAATAACAGATCGATCTTGATTGGAATAGTTTTGATGGGTTTACATCAGCAGTATTTTTTGTCGATTAGCAACCTAGCAAGTGTTTACGTTCTTGAGGTAAGTTGAATTAATTTTTATTATGTATAACGTGATATCAACATGAACGTTGATGTCTAAATGATGGCTAGCACTTATCTTATGTGCGATCTTTTTCTTTTTTTGAATAGATAGTGCAGTCAAGCTGCAGTTTCAGCTTTATGACTCACCGAATATTATCATTATCAGTAATATCATAATTGTTATGATAACAAGAAGCATTCAGTGAAAATATTATCACTATCAGTATTATGATAATAATAAGAAGAAGCTGTTATGCCCAACGTTTGGTCTTTGTTTCTCTTTCTTTTGTTTATCAGCATTGCAAAAATTTAGAATCAATTAGCAATGGGCAGTATCGGTTGAGCACTCAGTTAACGGATGAACGAAGTGATTCATTGAATTCAGCTGACGAGTTGTTCTTTTTGAAGATGTTAAATTTCGTTGAACTGTTTAAAGCATTCGTGTATTTGTTTGAGCGTTGTAGTGTTCGATATCTTTTCAACAAACAAATTGAGCTCTCAACATCTTTAGAGTTCTAGTTAGCGATTGGGTGCGTTCTATGAAAATTGATTGCTTTAAAGAGTGATCAGCAGGAATTAATAGAAGGAATGGAGATCGCGAAAAAAAATTTTTTTTTGGAAATGGTGGCATTCCATATAAAGAGAACAGTTTTCTTTGCTTCTTCGTGATCTTTGATAACCAGTCGCCTATCTTGAGTATTATTTGAAAATACTTGAATTTGAAGACATCAATAAACGAAGCCAAACTGGAAGAGCTCATGCAATTTGATCATTATGAACATCTGTTGCCATTCTCAATGTTTCATACTAACATAGATTGAAATTTCTAGAATTTTCATCCCGAATCGCTGTTTTGTTCGGTATTTGTTAATAAAATGTGCTGTTGGACATTGTCAACTGATACAGAAGTACGAATGAAACTATATGATATCAATTACTGCTATATTATCCCACATCAATATTATAAAAAATGAACACAGTTCAGTGGAACTTCTAAATTTATTCATTTTTTTTCCAATTAACATGGTGGGCATTTGAATTGTTCAAGAACGGGAATGTTACTAGTTCAATATGTGTGGCTATTCTCTGTAAGAGCTCAACAATTCATGTGAGAAATTGCACATAAAATGTTTATAACTAATCAGTGAGCTGATTGTGAAAATATATCAATTATCCACTTGTCTACATGGTGAGCACAAGAACGAGTCCACGAAATGTATAAGAATTGGTCAAGTTAGTTCGTGCAGAATATGCATTGACTACTTTTATTCCTCAGTGATGGAAAAATTTAGAATTGAGGATGGCAATCAAAGATAGATGATGCGGTTTTTGGAAACTTCACATTCCATTCATCTAGTCAACATCTCAAAAAATCAATTCAGCACAACCCAAAATCATGTTGTGTTGTGGGCGTCTGAACATCTCCGCCAGTCTTCTTCTAACACCTTATGAAAAGTTTTATTGGAAATTTAATTGGCGTCCATCAAGAAGGATTGATATCATCAGCAACTTTTTTAGTTTAACAGTTTCCGGAAGAAACTTTACATACTGTTGTAATGTGTACTTTTCGAACCCTCGTTGGTGATCGAATGGATTATGAAAGACGATTAAAGGAGTGAATTCAATATTGGAAAAGTGTATCATCGGTCTGGGACAGTGGTTCTCATAGGGGTGAAATTACCCACTTTGGGTAACTTGGAGGTGTGAAGGGGTAATGGAGAGGGTCGAGAAGTTGGTATTTCCTGCAGTTGTTATGTTATGATAGAACACCATTGTGATGGTGTTTTTTAACTCGGATATGTAAATGCGGTTAGTTAATGGCAACATTGAAATTACACCCGTTTGTCTTTAAATGCCGTTTTAACAGGGTTTTCATTCTTTTCCGTGCTGTTACAATCGCTCTCATAGCTTTTATCACCAAGAGTGTTCTCTTTTGCTAATTTCTCATTCATTTCACTCAACAGTTAAAATCAAATTCTCCTTCTATCATATACACTCTATAATTGACTATGTCACCGTCGAATGCTGTTCAGCAATTCAATTCAATTGTTGTATTGTTGACTTCGATTGTCAGCACTCGTCAATGTATCCAGTAAATAGTATATGCTACAGAATGAGAAAACGATTCGAGCTGTGAAATGAAATTGAGACGAAGTGAATGATAAAAACTCATCAATAGAACGATATTCGCATGTGATAGCTATGAGAGCGAATACAACACGTCTGAAAAGAATGAGAATCCATGCAAAACAGTTTGAAGTGTGCGTGTCATAGACAATAACTTTTCATGCAATCATAACCGATTGCATGAACACAACGGTCTAAGAGAAGGCCTAGCGATGTCGATTACCATCATGAACGTGTTAGTGAGATTTAATGTAACGGTCACTTGAACATAACTTGTGCGATATCTATATTTAATAGGGAGGGCAGGTAACGGCGGCCTGCCAGATCACGAAGACGGGTAATGGAGCACCCAAACTTGAGAACCACTGGTCTAAGAGATTATGAGGAATACTTTGGAGGAATGCTTTTGCATTTGCAAAAAATGCAACTGACTAAATGAGCAAACCAATTTGTCGATCATAAAAACTCTCCGCAATGATTGATGAACGATTCTATGAGTTATTCTATGAGTCTTCTCATCAACCAAACTAATCAAAAATTTTCTCAATGATATTAAAAATATCAAACAGTCCATCTGCTGCTTGCTTTTGCCTCAAGATCAGACTCATTGCAATGATAAGATGTGAAAATATCTTAACAGATGACAACCTACTGCATTATGAAATTCTGAAAAAAAAAAGATAATCGATCGCAATAGATAAAAGTAGCTGACACTTACTATGGTCCAGAATTGTCGGCCCACATAACACGACGTCCCATTCTGGAAGACAACTCGTTGTATCACAGATTCGAAACACTGGAAAGATTTTAACGAAATCGATTGATCAATCAGCTGATCACCTCGACCTCTTCGTCGTTTTCTTCACTGCTGCTGCTTTTCGATCGCAATTGTTAGCTGTCAGAACCGTCGATATTGATGATATTATAGCAGTCGGTAGTTCTATTTAATGCGTTCCAAAAATATTTTTAGAATCTGCAGAGGATCAGCAACTATGTTTACATTAAGTTTGTGAACGTGATGATGAGATGGAAAAATCGAATTCGACATATCATAGCACATAGAAAGAGTTCATGATCAGTCCCATCTGGAGCCTTGAATAGGATTTACATAACGTATTATCAGATCTAGATATATCGCTAAATCAACATTCATAAGATAATCACCAAGCATTTGATGATTCGAGTGAATCGCGTGAAAGATTTGAGAAAACCATCGGATACGCTTCTGCCAAAAAATATACAAGCTGAGAGAAAAGAATGGCAATATTTTGCAATATCAAGTTTTCGGAAGCTACCAGATAGAAACAGAAATATTTCTGAAATACAGTCACCAACTATGATTTTGATGGACTCAGTTGGAGTAAACCATTCTATAGAATACAAGAACAGCAAAAGGAAACGATCAGGTAGCACTAATAAGAATGAATAGCATTTTCAGCTAAGCACACCTCAACTGTTTACTATGTTCAACTCCTAGCAATGATCGACAACGGCTTCTTGATGATATTTTTAGCTTATTATTAGACACAATGCCCTTTGTTTTTCATTTTGATGGTCCAGAGTGCTTGCTTCATTGTGGAATGGTGTTACTGTTCTGGTACCTAGGACTTTGGTCATCTCACTTATCATACAAATAGAAAACTATCGAAGTAAACTGAGACTGTCATGGCTTAATAATTACATAAAAATTTTGCCGTGTTACCACGACTGAATGGATTTTTGCGATTCATTTATAAGATGGATACCAACAGCAGCAGCAACAGCAGCATCAAAAATAAGTGCATTATTTAATGCTAATCATTGGTGATGCTCTGGATAGGATCGATCAGTTGCGCGTTTGAGTTGTTATTTTGATGTTACACTCGAATGTGGTAGCTGTAGTCTGCCGATAAAGAAAGATGTGTCAAGAACTCTAATAAAGCAACTGCTTTCTAATTCTTATTAAATGCCCTTAACAATGTACTCTCATCGTACAACTGCACACTTTTTTGGAGGATATTGCGAAAGCCAAGTTTCATAAATCAGCAATGAATGATGGTCAGCAATGATGGATCTCAGTTTGAGATTTTAAGAGATCATCTGCGTCTTGCGTTCGATCAAAGTGAACAATTGGTTAAGGGAACCGCTGAACGGTAACTGATTAACTGATCATATCATATTAACTGATCATAATAACTATCATATTGAGAACTGATCGTATTAGTCGATCATCCAAGTGTTTAATTGACCAAATTTGACGGTTCCGGTACCTTAATGATAAGTTAACGACAGATGCGATGATAAGGACGATAATTGAAAATTTGGAACGGAATCTTTTTTGAAGAGCGCAAATTGATGTAATGAAATCAACGTATATGCAGAGTGCAAAAAGCTCTACAATCAGCTAAGTATTCACAGTGATTTCAGAGAGATAAGTGAGTTTGAGTATTCGGTCCGCCCTTAAATATTGTAACTTCATCACTGTAACGATGACGACAAGAAACAGTTGTCCCTGGCACAATAGTACTTAAGATAATGAAGATTCCAGATGAGTCATCACTTCGTACATCTTTTTTCAATTGCAAAAAACAATTTTACGAGCCCTTTCCATCAGAATTTGACGAGACGACTGAATGGAAGCCATTGGCTCGAAGCTATATGAAATAATACGTCAAAATATTCTCCTAAATACAGAAATTGTTTCCAAGTGGTGAAGAAGATCAAAGAAGTGCATCCGCTTTTAACGATATTGGCAGCTTCACTTGTTCGTTAAATGAGCTTTTGTCATTCAGAGTTCAAACTCGGGTTGTTTTTAAGCCTGATCACTTGAAAATGTCCACTATGTGATTGAGAACAACTGAGATTTTCAGCTTTTCGCATCATCAACCTCTAATCGCACTAAATAATTAGTCGTAAAAGAGATCGATATTGTTTCTGCCTAGTTCTGATCGTCGCCTTGAGGATGACATGGAATCTGAAGGCATTTGGCAAAGTGCTGACGCAACACGAAGTGTTTGTGTTCTTGAATTCTGCATACGTGAGATGCATACGTGTTTCCGTAACTAGTTCGGTCAATTCCTGCACAGAATTCAGTCACTGCATGGGGACATTTTCACACATCACCCTCTTTCATACCCGTTTTTCAGTTGATCTGATGGGCATCTTTCAAAAGAAAAGTGTGTATTAAACGTGAAAGAAGTTGCATATCGAATCAATTGAATCAATCTCANAGTATAACGAACTTCTTGTTGTAATTCAGTGCAGATTGTTGAATGGAACAGATGCTTTTTATGACAGACAGTATACTCTCCACATTCTCGATATTTCCTCTCTAATTTCAGTTCGAATTATTTCAGCAAAAAAGTGTCGCTGACCAAAATCGTGAAAATTCCAGTCGAATTCATCAATATTTCATCTTCTCAATAGCCATCATGCATTCAACAATCCAATCACAATTATCTTCAAATGACCTAGTAACACGGAAATTCGATCAGCACAACAATTCAACGATTTATCATCTCTACAAAGCGCAAATAACCAATGACCTTGATTTGACATTTCATTTCAATTTGTAAACCAATCACGTCTTCATCACTTTCAAGTACCCAGCACTGCCAACGATAATCCTTTTTATCGTCATTTGATATGTCCGTCCGATCACCACCATTTCATTCGCCTCATCAGCTCATCTCCACTCACCTCATCATCATATTCATCCTGATTGCATAATCTCTGCAACAATCGCTCCATTCAGAGCTCCGAAATATTTGACGACTTCATTTTTTAAAGAACTCCTCTATTACTTCTCGAGTAAATTCGGTTGCTCCATTCAGCTTTTTCTAACATTTGTGTCTGCAGCTGTTACCCGCAATATAAATGGCTCTAGCAAATACTCATAGAATGTTCATTGTCAGTTTACGCAAAACCAAACTATCATAAGATCAAATTCAAATCACCATCCATCTTTGAAACGTTAGCAAACAAATGGCTATTGGCATAGTTTAAGAACGCTTACAAACTCATTAGAACTCGTTAGAGCAGATATGATAGATGGATGTCATGGACATTGTGCAGCTTACAGATGTTGTTCGAATCAGTGTTAACCTTGTTCACGGCCATTTTGACGACATCATTCGTCGAGAGTGGTAATGTTGCACTGTGCAAGGATCAAGCAGACTGTGCCACATGCGCCTCATCCTACATTTATGTCTTCGGATTCCGAGAATATTGCAGGTTCTTTGACGTTTTATATCACCCGTTTGTAATGAACTTGAATTCATCTGATTCATCGTCTCTTTTAAATTCATTTGATTCGAATCATTTCCGGTGTTAACTTTTTTCAAAATCTTGTTCAGAGTATCTTGATTTGCTTTTGGTTCCATTTGAAAAACACCCACTAATTGAATATTTTCCAATATTTCGGCAATCTTTGTGGATGGGTGATTTATAGGATCGAGGTTGAAAAAAAACTGTTGCAATGAAATATGATGTTCGTTATGCGGTGGTGCTATGCAATCAAGCAAAGCATGAAATAAATCACTGCACCTCGAACGCATTGCACACTGAAATATCAATGTTCATTTGAGAATTTCTTTGAAAGTTATCAATCGTTTCAGACTTCACGAGTTTCATTACGACCACTCAAATGTAAAAGAATCTGTTTTAGCAGACGTTCTCAACGAATTTGAACACGAACTATTTGAGCCTAGAAATTGATGATTTTAGGTGGTGCGCAAGTTCGAACACGTGTGGGGGACCATTCGCTTGTGCACCAGGCACTGGCGTAGTGCAACGTGAACCCTTCCAGTGCCCCATAAAGTCACCGACCGCAAAAGGACGTCGTTACACGGACAAATTGGGACGTTCCCTATACGCGCTCTGCCTGGCCGTTCAACAGACCGATCCGAAAATTTGTTTGTCCAACAGTCGACCTGATGTCAAGTGAGTTGCTGGGTCAGACTTCAAAAACCATCTGAGTAATGCTAGACTATAAAGATATTGAATGAAAAGTAGGAATATTGGAGAGGATTGCACTGCGAAGACCATATTAACCATGCAACAGATTTAAGCGATCCGGAAATTAAATCTGAGCGATTTCGGAAAAAAACCAGTCTGAACAATTTCAGGGTGACCAAAATTGTGTCCACATTCACTGAAATTATGAAGTGTCAAGTAATAACACTGTTTTAGCCTATTAGGGAGATGCACTATTTATGTGCACATGCATGCAGATGTGTGTTTGCTCCATATTTCTCTTGTTGCGATCCCACTCAAAAACTATCTATCATACAATATGAAAAGAGAGTATGTCAAATGGAATGAGATCATCACACGTGAACTATGTGGTTGGTTACGAAACGATGAAGAATATTCACAACTGTTCGTGAAGAATGTGGCGATGTTTTAGAGCAAAAAAGAATGCGAAAACTGACAGCAGCACATCTGAAAAGAATGAGGAGATATGTTCAATCTCAAAATCATCTGAACATTGCGCAACAAAGAAAGAATTGCAGGTGAACTAAAACTGTGGGAAGAATGCCTCACAAAATAGGTCCATCCTTTCAAAGTGCAAATCCGACGCAGCAGTCAATCAGTCTTCAATGGTGTTTATCCTCATCATTGAATTGAAATGAGTCATCGAATCTCATTGAAATAGTCAGGTCATAACTGACTGACTGATCCACATCCACATGCATGTGACGATAAACTAAAAGTGATGAAATAATAATTACAGAATGGAAAGACGTTATGATGTTGAATGTGATGCATCTCATAATCATTGCGCAGCAATGTTGGCCGTTTCGGAAGCAGCCAAAAGTATTTACGTTGTTTACAAATCATCGAATATGGATAAACAGATCATTGCTGAGGTTTGATTCGTCTCTAGCTTCCAGTAACTTCACTGAATTGTCTATTCAATCCTTATCAAGCCAGCAATCGACGAGTTCAAGCATGATTAAAATTGTTCTACTCGTAAACTCGCTGATGACTTGTAAATATTTCGGAAAGACGTTATGATGTTGAATGTGATGCATCTCATAATCATTGCGCAGCAATGTTGGCCGTTTCGGAAGCAGCCAAAAGTATTTACGTTGTTTACAAATCATCGAATATGGATAAACAGATCATTGCTGAGGTTTGATTCGTCTCTAGCTTCCAGTAACTTCACTGAATTGTCTATTCAATCCTTATCAAGCCAGCAATCGACGAGTTCAAGCATGATTAAAATTGTTCTACTCGTAAACTCGCTGATGACTTGTAAATATTTCAGTTCATTCATGTTATCGCTGCCCAATTTGGCGCTTGGGAGAAATTCGTTGGTGGCTCAGGAGTGATGACCTATTTTTATAGTGCATTCCAACGGCTATTCGTCGATTCCGGAATGAAGACTGATTTGACGAAAATGAAGGAAAAATACCCCGGCTATAAAGTTTGGGTACGTTAATCAAAGCGTAATTCCCCGAATCATAATTCCTCCTCGAATCAGCAGTGCATGATCTACTGATTTGATCGAACGTTTACGAATAAACCCTTCAAAAAGCTAGCAGATTATTCAAGAACCCTCATGTTATTGCTGCTTACTTCCTGCAATTTTCATAAATTGTGCAGTTTGGTAGTATAATATCACAAACGTTCAAAACCAAATTGTTACATCTGAAACATTAATTGCATCAAATTTATTCATAATGGATCAGTTGAGCTCATGGTTAAAGAGCACTCTTCATCTGATTATATTACTGTGCCTTCTTATATATTTTCGGTTTGACTTTAGTGAATGATTTGGTGAGGTTCAGGTAACTGGACATTCATTGGGCGCTTCACTGGCATCGATGACGGCGCTCTATTTGGTCAATGAAACGATCTTCCCGGCCGATCGTGTTCGTTTGGTGACATTCGGTGAGCCGAGAACGGGTAATGTGGCGTTTGCAAGAGCAGTCGAAGAGAACGTTAGATTCAGATATCGTGTTGTACACGCTAATGATTTGGTAAGTATTCTTTTCAAGAAATCAGAACTAATCAGAAAATGGATTAACTGAGTGACTGCGCGTTTTTTGCATCAGTACTTGTAAACACCTCTTGTATGATGAGACGAACGTTTCTTTGCTTGAATTCTTGCGTATGAAAATTATCAATTCATGCCAGTGTAGTGATCGGTTACGTGTTACATTCCTTAATGATATGGTCATATGGCCAAAACTAAATTTTTTGCTGTTCAGTTCGAAACTGTACGATAGTTTCGTGACAGCAGTTCAGCTGCAAAAATGGAAAGCGATAAAACTGCTTTCTAATAAATTCAGAGCAGATTGCTCACAAATATCGCTATTTCAACCTTTTTCTTTGATTGCCTTCAAGTTATTGCAATGATCAAATATCATTCTTATTACTGTCAGGTAACCAATTTGCCAACTTCAATGGATCCGGCTGGTCTCTTCGTTACGACGGCAATCGCTGAACGACAACCATATTTTTATCGTCATCTGATTCATTACGACAATGAAATGAGACGAGGCGATACGTTTGAGGTGAGAAATCTGATCAATTTTATACCGTCATTCATTGTGTGTCGGATGACCGGATTATAATATTTATGTCTCAACAAAATCCACACAATTCAATTCGAGGAAGTTCAGTCAAATCATAAATTTGAGATCATAAAGTACAGAATGATGATGTGTGATCCTCATGAGAACAAACGTTTCTTATTTGCAGTCACTCAAAATGACAGATATCCTAATATACTTCAGTCTGCCTAAGTCTTGAGCTCTTATTCACGAGTTACTGAAACCTACAACATATTGTTGATTCGATTAATTGACTTGCTTCAAATAATGAGCGCTGATTGCATGAGTTGAGGGATTTGCTGATGAAAACTCTATTGAAACCGACTCTTTGAGAGTACTTATCATCAGCGACTGTGGTAACAATAC